TTTGATGTTGGATAGCCGATAAAGGTTTAATCGATCGAGTGCGTCAAATACATCACGTGGATAGAGGTATTTGAACGGATGGATTTAGACAGAGGTCTCATCAGCCTATCAGAGCCCACTGCTGAGCAAAAGCCTCTTTCTCATATGGAGAAGGTTTGAGCATTAATAACCACGTTTGCTCAAGACGGGTTGGTGATTTCAAACTTATAATTGTGAAATTATAAGTCCAGGTTTCCTTTGGATGTTTTCCTTCACCGTATGTCAGTGATGTCTAAATACTCTTAGTACATATGACTCGGAAAAATCACATTGGCCAGGATCGAACCCGCGCCTTCATGCATGAGAGACGGGCCTTTTAACCACTTGGCCACCACTGACTGACAGACGTCTGCTTTTCCAAAAAACTAAAAAGATTTATAAGTGGGATACAAGAGAAGTGTTGAGATAAACTTAGTCATTCTAAAGATCTCAGACCTGAAACAATCTCATGAGTAATAGGTCCCTTTGTAAACAAAGGTTCATTGCCTGAACGACGTCACTTGTTCAGATTCATTCAGAAATATTCTTTGTTGTCTTATCTAAATCCCAAATCACATATACATATGCATGTTGCAATACAACCACTTTATCAAACAATACAACATATTAAATATAATTCCTACATGTAAATTATCAGAGTAATAAATTTATGTTTAATTGATATACAATAATTAATTTCCCGTGGACTTTGTATTGTTATTATCATATGTTATCTTAATTACCAATGACAGTATATTCGGTACAAGAGTACCTTATTTGAATGCGTATTAAAGTTTTTCTTAACCGTACGCCCTTTGAGTGCCCCTCAATAGTCCCAGTGTTAACCAATTGATGTTCAATCTTCATTGTGTCCTGTGATCATATTAGTGATAAAATTTACATCGGCATCTGTTGGAAGCAGTATTATTAGCTTTTGAGAATATATCATTTCTCTTCTACATATAAATATACTAGCTTTCCGCCCGCAGCTGCGCCCGCGTGGAGTTCGGTTATATCGCGTTTCAAAGAGAACCTTTCAAAAGTCTTGGATAAAAACAATCCTATGTTCATTCCCAAGGTCAACTCTATCTCTGTACCAAATTTCATTAAAATCAGTTCAATGGTTTAAGCCTGAAAGCGTAGCAGACAGACATAGTTACTTTCGCATTTATAATATTAGTATGGATGTGTTTTACGAAATATCTTTCATAATATGAAAAGAAACCTTAAAAAAAACTTTGAAATCTGAACGGGATTTTTATATTCTACTCCATTAATACCTGATGGTGAAATATTTACTTTATATAAAGATAATATAATCTAATTTATTTGATACGTCATTAGCGGTTAGCGTTTGTCGGTTTGATAAAAATCTGATGAGTTATGATGAGCTCTGATGAGTTTGATAAAACTCTGAAAAAGATTTTTAAATAATTTACAATAGTGTTAAATTTGTTATGGTTTTGTGTAAAACAATAACTGTTAGTGCTAATCCCTACTAATACTATAAATGCGAAAGTAACTCTGTCTCTCTGTCTTTTACGCTTTCACGCCTAAACCACTGAACTGATTTTAATGAAAATTGGTACAGAGGTAGAATTGACCTTGAAAAAGAACATAGGATAGTTTTTATCCCAGACTTTTGAAAGGTTCTCTGGGAAACGCGATATAACCGAACTACACGCGGACGAAGCTACGGGTGGAAAGCCAGTACGCATTTAATTTTAAAATCAGGATTTGATATTTGATAGCAACAGAATTCATAGCTCTGTTAGCACTTACACATTTATGATTTAAATCATTACAGATACAAATAAATTCAATGATTCGTTTATGGTAAATATTGGAACTGTCCGTTTGCATGACCTTTAACCTCGGTCCAAGGTCACTTGTGTGATATCCTAATGAAAGATTTCTTAAAGATAACAAAAATACATAAATACTTAGTAAACATACATATTTTCACACTAACAAAATTATTTGAATAATATAACAATTTACTTATCTACTATCCATCTCAAATCTTTGATATAATATGATTTTTATATAAAGATATGGATTTTATTATTTAATGGCTCACGAAATCTTTAGATTATTCACAGATAAAATTTTATTCTTATTTAAAAATATAAATTATTAAATCATTCGCTAAAAAAATTGGAATGATCTGATATGTTAAAAAAATATAATGATGCAATAGTATGGAAAATTACATTAATTTCAAATTAATATAAAAATAACGATTGGTTTCAATTTACTTAATCCTAATTTATCGTAAGAACTATGTTTTAACTAAGTAAACAAACAAAGTGGCACAATTTTATTTTGGATGCGCATGCGCACATTATGATCAACAAGATACGTAATGACTCAGTTGCACACAGACCGCGCTCGGATACAGACGTCCGTGCTCCGTTATACAAATGCGTGTTATATAAAAACGTGATATATCAATAAAAAAATTCACATAGCACATTTTACATTGAAAGTGAGTTGATATCGTTTAGACGCAGGTAATTTAAGAGGACATTAATATTATATTACGTACATACATGTGTCTGTTACCGGAATCCGTTGATTATTATATTAATTTACACCACAAATACTCTTTCCGATTTCACTTTATGTTCACGCGATTCGTACTAATTTGCTGCAACGTAAAATAAGAATGTTCGGTTCTTTTATTCGATCGAAGTGGGTTTCAGTGTATTACATTTGGTCACGCTCCGAATGCTAGTTTTTTTATTATTGAATATTATTAATTTATTGTTTTATTTATCAAATTAGTAGTTGTGATTTATTAAAATATATTTCATTGATAGTATTATTATTAGTTGTTAAATATGTGACGAATTTTGCGCAGTCCATACAGTTACATCATTTTGTATGAAACTCAATGTGATCGTAATTTTAATGAGGGAAGAAACAGTTACAGGTTATGAATAAATCGTATTGAGTAATGTTAGAATAATATAGAAGTTTTATAGTTTAAATTTCATTAGTAATGTCACAGTTATAACATTGTATAGCTTTAATTGAAGAAGTATATAAAGTCAGTGGTGGCCTAGTGGTTAAAAGGTCCGCCTCTCATACACCAGGGCGCGGGTTCGATCCTGGCCCTGGCAAGTTCAAATGTAATTTTTCCGAGTCATAAGTACTTTCTATGAGTATTTAGACATAACTGATTAATGCATTCCCAAAAAGGGTTGATGTCAGGCAGGCGGGCCGGTCGTAAAAACAATTAGCCAAAACTATTCACAACATGTAAGGCAGACCCTGGCTAAAGCTTGAATATTGCCATGTAGAAGAAAAAGATAGCTTTAATTGATGAAATTCTATTCAGATTATTCAATATTTATGTCTCTTACTATGAGTCGGTGTTCAGACTACAAACAAATAGTTTAACAGTTTTCTCGAAGGTTTTTATTTAATTATACAAAGTTTCTCATACAAATATTAGTATTAGTAACTATAGTTTTGACTGTAAAAACATACTAAGGTACTTAACTATGTAGGATGTATGGAAACAGTATAATTTAATAGTCTGTAATTTTATTAGTACATAACTGTAAGTTTTGTAGTGAAAATCAAATCTTACTTAAACATGCAGTATATAAGAAATTTTCTTAAAAATAATAAGACTTCCAATACTTTAAATAGAAAAGGCTCCATACAAAGACTAAATGGTATATAACAAAAACTTGAACCTAGTTCAACTTGATATATACAAGTATATATTATTATAAAAAATATCAGAAAGTATCATTAATGTATGCTTTTATTACTGACGTGACCCAGATTTCACTAATTGATTTCCTGATCTAAATGGTTTAATATATTTACCTCAATTTTAAAAGATTTTTATATAACACAGTAAATATGGTTAGGTTTTGTTCGAAAGAAACAATAGTTTCTTTGTTTAATAAACACTTTTTAGTAGTATTTCACACCTTTATTTTAATATGCTTACTATCTTCTTCTACCTGTCAATTTCCCAGCTTTAGTCAGGGTCTGCCTGACATGTTGTGAATAGTTTTGGCTAATTGGTTTAACGACCCGCCGCCTGCCTGACATCAATCCTCTTTGGGAATGCATTAATCAGTGATGTCTAAATATTCTTAGAAAGTACATATGACTCGGAAAAATCACATTGGTACTTGCCAGGGCCAGGATCGAACCAGCGCCCTCGTGCATGAGAGGTGGGCCTTTTAACCACTAGGTCACCACTGATTTCAGTATGCTTACTATGTGTGTATTAAATTATAATTTCAATATAATGTGGTTGAATATAATACCGTCGGTTTGGCGTTAAGTTACTCTGTTACGTAAATATTTGGAGCAGTACACCACTTTTGTTACACACTCGACTTATAGTGACATTTAATATTAAAAGCTACGAGAAAAGGTAATTCTTGTTTTAAGATCATTTCTCGTTAAAAGATTGTTTCTTTATGAATAGAGGTAGATAACATTTTTTTTATAATTTAGGTATTATATTATGACCCTTGATAAATAGGTGTAAATAATATAAAACTTCAATTTATATAACACATACGAGATTCCGAAAAAAAAATAATGCTATTTACTTAAATTGCATACTTTTATTGCTCGAAAACTGATACACAAGTGTTCTTATTATCTATATATGTATATATATAACGGAAACAAAGAAAATTCATTTGTATATAAACACGATACCTACCGCTATGTTACACGCAGTTATCTATGTGAATTGGATGATTGTTTTAAACTCTGGCCGAACATTGTCCACAGGCATGCCTCTGAACCGATGGCCGGTCATAGGTTAGAGTTTATCATCTGATTATTAGTATATACAGGGTGTTCAATTGCTCATCATTAGTTAGTCAGTCGTCAGTTGATATCTGACGCTCGTCGTGTGCGGTCGTGTCCAGTGTTTGTGATTTAAAATAGGCTCGTCAAGATTAATATTAAGTGTTAATGGGACTGGTGATGTGTTTAAAATGGATACGATGCTAAATGTATGGACGATAGTGGAACAAGTCCGTGTGGCCGGTGCAGCTGAGCTAGCAATCTTCACGGCAATACTTTACTGGTTCTTTACTTCGAGGTTTGTTTTTTTTTCAATTTTTTCGAACCTAGCAAAAATTTTTAGTGAACACCCTTTTGTAAGTGACTTGTATGTATAAACAGTTTTTATATGTTTACGTTTCAGTCAGCATTTTTATTGTTTCTTTTGTTTATTTATATAATATTTATTAAAAAACTTTATAAAATATATCATAATAAAATATTAAAGGATATTTTATGATAGTTTTAACGACCCACTGTTGATGTCTATATTTAAACATATATACTAACATTATAAATATATTTGATACAACAATACTTTTGTATCTTTTATCGAAATTGTTTATATTCATTTTTTTCACTTATTATTATTTTTAACTTAAAAAGAAAATTTTATTTTATGAAGATTTTAAGATATCTTCTTGAATGAATTTATTTTGTAAATAAATAAGCATCACATGTTTTCGAAATAGTTTTTTTGTTACTTATGTATATAATAATATACATTATACATACCTATATATGAAATAACTAATAATAAATAAATATAGTTATTATATAATAACGATATTATATATTTCTTTCCTCCCTTTCAATTATAATTAACAATTTTAATTATGTTTTGTATAAATAAATATACATAACAAAAGTAGTAGAATAAATATTAAATTAATTTCTAACTCCGTATTATGTGAACACTTATGATTTTGGCAATACAAACGTTAAGCCTAGATCACAATGTTGTATTATATTTTTATCATATACATATATTTTAAATGAAACTGACATTTGTCGGAGTGTACTACGCGTATTTTATTATAGTAAAAACTACATACTCCCGAGGTTTCGGTTACTTTTCACCAACCGTGGTCACGGGAAGATTAGTTTCAAATGTAGTTTTTTCAATAATAAAATACACGTAGTAATCCAAAATATTAGTTTCATTTAAATGAATACTCTCGAAAGTCTTAGATCTCATTACATATTATGTCTTGAGACTTAATTGTAAATCTTATTCCATACCCACACAGGTTAAATTGACACACTCATAATCTGATTCTCATTTCTAATCAGATTGACCAATTATTTTATAATTTAACTACGTTTGGTGTCACAAAATGTTTGCTACACATTTTGAACATTTTTTAAATCGTTACGATTTAATGAACTATCCTACTTTGATATAGACTAATGTGAAATATTCGTGTTATAATAAAATAAAAAAATAAGGTTTTTTTATAGTTTGAATATATGTATATTGTTTGAGATACCGTTTCAGATTTGTTTTTCAATGTTACTTTACTTCCACTTATCCTACGAAATGACTGAAGCCAGCAATATAGTTTTCAAATACAAGTTGATACTTAAATGTTGATATAACAAAATTACAATAGTTCAGTATTATAATTAATTATACAGATAAAAATAATTGTAAGGATTACAGTATACTAGCTTTCCGCCCGCAGCTTCGCCCGCTTGGAGTTCGGTTATATCGCGTTTCCAAGAGAACCTTTCAAAAGTCTGGGATAAAAACTATCCAATGTTCTTTCTCAAGGTCAACTCCATCTCTGTACCAAGTTTCATTAAAATCAGTTTAGTGGTTTAGACGTGAAAGCGTAACAAACAAACAGACAGACGGAGTTACTTTCGCATTTATAATATTAGTAGGGATTGTAATTATATGGTTTCCTTGTTCCAGCCGTGTAGCTGATATGTTGGAGGTTGTGGGGGAGAGGGTAGGAGGCTGGTGTGGTCGGGAGCCAGGCTCGTTAAGGCAGGCTGTTCGACGGAAACGACATAATGACGTGTACTCTAAAATTGATGCTGAATTTACAGTGAGTTTTATATTTTTTTTATGTTGACAACACTATTACCACTATTATATTTTGTTATGTTGGTAGTATTGATTATTTTCATGACATCAATATGAAAATTACGTATATGTAATGATCTATTTTATCGTCAATTTTGGTCAGTAGGACTTTATTGTCACCCAAACAGAGCATTAAAAGTACAATTATTATAAAAAATATCTTCATAAAGGTCATTGACCTTTGTCCTAATTTGATATACTTTATATGCCAAATTAGTGCAAATTTTGCAAATACTGCCACATCATTTCTCTAATAGTATATTCCGAAACCTAATACATATATGATCATACATTTCCTACATCGTAACACGTCTGTTGCAATCTCAGTAGTGTACTGAATTATGTAAGCAGTTATTATTGTTGCAAAGTTACTTTAACCGTTGTTAACTAGCTGAAAGGCAATGAGAGAATTCAGATTTTTATCTTTTTAGTAAAAAGAAATAATAATAGGTATATATTGAGTTTTTTGGTGAAAGGATATACTTCTTAGTATAATTTTTGAGCCAACAATTTTGAGTGAAATTTAAGTTTATGAGCAATGTGAACTACTTATAAGATTTCGACTACAATTTTTATAAAACTACAACTTTCGAAAACTAAATTTAATAAGTAATCTAAGTCGGATCATTTTATATTACTGTAATAAATGAAATAGAAATTTAATTCAAATCATTCATTTAATATGATAATTGTTATAAGAAGAATAATCTTTACTGATCAGTCGTATAGCCAGTTCTTGGATATAAATTCTCCCATTAGATGTACCTTTAGCAAATGCTGGAGAAGTGTCAAGTTTGATGATGAATTCGCCTAAAAAACCGTATTTGCTTGTATATAAGAAGATTATCCTTACCATAGGTTTACATAGTGAAACTAAACACAGAAATTATCAGTTTTTATATACATACATATATATATGTTATAGCTACATTGATATTATTGAGGGAATATTTTAAATGACGATTTAGAAACAGTCTGTGTGTACGTGTGTGTGTGTGTGTGTGTGTGTGTGTGTGTGTGTGTGTGTGTGTGTGTGCGTGTGCGTGTGTGTGTGTATGTTTGTTTGTTTGTGTAAACACATACTAAGGATGAAACTATAAGTCGGACGTATATGATATACAATTAATTGTATATGACAGAAATTAACAATTATGAAGAAGTATTTCAGAACATTTGAACAGTAAATTACAAATCTAACAACCTGTATATGCCACAACCTACAACACCCTGTATATCATCCCATATATTAATGTACTAAAATATTTTCCACTGTTACTGTAAACATTAGCAAGGTTATCGTTTTGAACTGCGAATCATTTATAAATAGAATGCTATACAAGCTTTGGAGTCATAATAAACTATTTTTAACAGACATCGAAAAAATGTGTTGTGATTACAAATTAAAGATTCTGATAGCCTATCTTAATGGAATTATTATATTATTTACTAATATTTGTTCGCAACTTCGTCGTCTATGAAGAAATATTTTATTGAGAGAGCAAGGATTAATGTTTTGAAGTGAGCAAATAATTGAGTTTTATTTATATATATTATATAAGTATTATAGAAGAATGTCGCCATCTCCTTGGTCTTGAAACAGAGATCAAGTGACTAAATTATTTTTTCTTTTATATTGTAAATACATATCATGTTCCCACTTTACCTTTATAGATGAAGTCAGAGTATTTGCTCAATAAGTATTTAATTAAAATTCGAATAATTGCACTTTTTATATGTATTTGACATACATATCTATAGTATTTTAATGATACTTCCTACCATCAACTTAATTCGTGTTACCTACTTTTTAAGAATATTTAATTATTTTCATTCCTAATTGAACCTCGATCTCAAATTTATCGTTTTATCAGTTTCATTTCTGGGCTAAGTTTTTTTACCTTATTTTATAATCAAAGCTCCAAATGCTATCTATGTCTATGTTTCCCTATTTTTTTTGACATTATTAAAAAATATACTCCGTAATAACTGTTACTAAAAATGCAAAACATTTTTTACTCCTCTAAAAATTATAGCATAATTTTTCCAACGACATTAATCTTTCATATACAAAAAAATGACTAATTTTCTTTAACAGTCAAGAACTTCGTCGCTCTACAGGCTGAAGGAGGAGATCCAAGTACCACCTCCTCAACCCGAGGTTAGACCACCAGCCGGGCTTGCATGCTCAAGATGCGCTCCATTATCAAGGGTGAGTTTTAAAGATATTTCTACCTTACACATGACAATACAATATATCAGATATTATTATTTATTTATTTAACTCTTTTTTGTACACCACAATTACAATACAGAAAAATACAAACTAAAAACTAATAGTAAAACAAAAGGCGGCCTTATGGCTTATTACTCCTATTAGCCATTTCTTCCATACTACCTAGCTATACTTTACTAGATATACTTTCAGTAAAATTTTCGTCTTTATGATCACGGTTGCTGTAAAGTAGCCGAAACGGCGGGAGTATGTAGTTTATAACCAAAAATAAATTCGCGTACTATACCCGCAAAATATCAGTTTAATTTCAATGAATAAGACTCGCGAAAATCTCATATTTCATTATACTTTCAGAATTTTTTGCTACAATAAGTCAGAACGTGTTTTTTCTTGAATGGCTTTCCCTATAAACTACATATAAAGTATTTTTGCTCTGGATTTATAAGTGATCTATCGAAAGTTGATTGCAATAACATTACTTTTTTTCTTTATTTTATACTTGAAAGAAGTAAACCTATTCGTTATCATAATTTCATTTTATGTATTTCTCAATAATTGGTTTTTGAATGTCTCTTAATTTTTTATTTAATTATTTAAAATGGATATTGAGATAATAATATCAATTAAGATACATCTGTTTAAATGCAATAAGTTCAATGAACTATGAATTTAATTTATTCTTTAAAATATAGATATAATATTATTAAAAAAACTTGTATATGGTCAATGCCAACGTTGTTATACGAATTGATTATAACGTTAAATCTTTCTTTTAACTTTATTACTTTATATTAAATAATCGTTGGCAAGTCTCCGACTGTGATGGCCAGTTTTTAAAACACTACACGTTTTACGTACAAAAAATTATTTTAGTAATGTCTATGAATATTGGAAGTAAACAGATTTATTTTTGGCACCGGCATACTTAAATTCTTATGCAATGAGTCTAATTTTGAAGTTATTTGATACAGAGTTCAGATAACGATGGCTGTGGTATAGCTATCGACCTTATATTTATTAAATAGAATCACGTTCTGTCCACTGTAACAAGAACCTTCACTTTATTGTATAAGGATAACGTAGAAACGAAAAACAAAATGGCGGATAGTGTCTGTTTAAAAGAACAAACACTATATATGTGTAAATATTGATGAACATATAATAAGAATTACTATATGAATAGAATTAAAATCATAGATTATGTATTATTACTAAAAATCTATGTGTATATATTATATCGGAATATTATAGTACATACAATTTTTTTTATATCATTTTTATTTATTTAATTATACGATTAATTTGTTACTCATTACCTTAAAGATTAAACATGACATTGATAATATTAACCGATAAACTGGTTAAAGGTCAGTTACGGTGTGATTTAACCACGCGGCCATCACGAATTGTTTAAGAACTTACTCTAATAGTTTAAATGTTGTTGAAGTATTTAAAATCAATATTTGCTTAACAAACTGTTGTGTATTCAATGTATGGTTTGTTGATTTTAACTATGTCGTACAATCATTCCAACATTACTTTGACTATTTTATATATAAGCAAAAAAAGTGGCCCCAAAATCCAACCTTGAAGAACAACATATGGGATATGAATTTTAGGTATTTTTCATATTATTTCATATATTTAGTAAAGTCATAAAAAATTATATTTCTCTTTTATGTTAGATAATTTCTAACAATGATTTACAACTCGATAATGAAAACTTTGTAGTTTTTTATTATCCCTACAATGACTTTTGTAGTCATTTGCAGGACTAAAGACGCTTCAGATTTATAGCTTTTCATAAATATTCGAGAAAAATAGCATAAGCTAATTATCTTGTTATTTTACTACATCAAGATTCTTGTGATTCTGTTTGGTATATTAGTAATTATATAATATTGACCAGACGGTAATGACCTTGGACATCGTCTTAAAACAGGTTCTACAAAATGACTTGACCATTATTTTCTCGTTAAGTGAAATATGTAATGGCTTCCCATAGGAGATGATATTTATAATAAATAATGTAGGTGTTTCAGGTTTGCATAAAGAAAAAACGAAATAGTACGGTAATATAAACGTAATTGTAGGTATATATGTATGTGGGTAAATGAGAGTTTCAATACTCGCTTCCAACCTAATAAGGGAACAACTTGTGTGATAGATTGTACAATCTTAAAATACCATTTTGTATGACTTTCAAGCGATATATTAAAAATAATCTGTGTTTTTCAATTAACCATTTATGAATTTTTTCCAAGCCCAATTGGGGGATATAAAAATGAAAAATATATACATATTTATAATCATTATAATAATAAGATATTTTTTAAACATACATTAACAGAAAAATAGGTACTTAATAATATAAAAAAGTACAGCGAAATAATAATTAAAAAGATTGAATATAAAAATCGATAACAAAGCAAAAAAAAACTTTTCCTTATTTAACGTTTTTTTTTGTATAATTCATTTATTTTTCTTTAATTAAGTCTTTTTACTTCATATTTAAATATTTCGCTAGTGATGGGATCATCGATAAAATGTTAAAGAATGTTCAAAATAAATGTCCAGTAATATATTACAGTCCCTTAACAATATGAACAATAAATTATAATTAGCGTCGCCTTAATCACAATGGGTTTTGTTTAAATGTAGTCATGTGTAAATCGCATGTTGATTCTCAGAGTTTTGTATATATTTAAAACATATCTTTTGTTCTTATGACAAAGGATTTACATATATTGAGTAATGTATACTCATTTTGTCGCTTAATATGTCACCTACATACGTCTTATTACGTCTTATCTTGAATGTAAGAAAAACGTTTGAAAATTTGTCAAATTTTTTTGACCATTACTAATTGTGAAAAATGATTACTGTCGAGCAAAATTTTTTACTCTTATTTAACAATGAATGTTAATTGTGTTTTTCTATATATTCTTCTTTATGGACCAATGAGAATACGTACAAAAGGAGCCTCACAAAAATGTATAATTTATTTATTAACACTTTTACGATAAGTATTTTCGAACACTTCCCGTAAGTTCTTACAAGATATCCTTTTGTACTTTGTCATTGAAGTAATGACGTCATTATCATGAATTTTATTCGCTCAAATAATTTAGCAGCATTAAGGGCTTTGCAAGAGATATAAAATTTCTTTTTGTTCTCAGAACACATGGGATAACTTAAATTTCGCTTCCTCAATACTATCTTGTTTACTTTAGACTCTAGTACAAAGTTTTTGTCAATAAATTTAATAACTTGATGTTCTGCGTCGTATAATCGTTATTTAGAGGACACGTTCCAAACTCGCATCACATACTAATGAGTCAAAGTCCATTTTGCTTTGTCTCAGATACCGATTTACCTATTTTTCTTTATCTCTAAACTGTACCAAAACGTTCAATGCTCTAAAATAATATTGACCTAAATTATTTATTATCTATGTTATTTTAATCGTCTTCCGTTTTTTTATCTGTTTCATTGTAAGAATATATATGTATAACTAGCTTTCCGCCCGCAGCTTCGTCCGCGTGGAGTTCGGTTATATCGCGTTTCCAAGAGAACCTTTCAAAAGTCTGGGATAAAAACTATCCTATGTTCTTTCTCAAGGTCAACTCTACCTGTGTACCAAATTTCAGTAAAATCAGTTCAGTGGTTTAGGCGTGAAAGCGTAACAAACAGACAGACAGAGTTACTTTCGCATTTATTATATTAATAGGGAATAGGGAAAAATTTATTATAATAATAACGAACTCACTCGAAATAGGTTCGTAGTAGATTTGTACGCGGTAGAGGTGGGAGCGAGAGGTATAACAGCGAAATCTCTCTATAACCTACTAAAGGACTTGGGCTTGTCCAGAACTCACATTAATGCATTCTTGGAACGTACATCGAAGGCAGCCCTAGTAGGTTCTTTTCAAATTTGGTTAGGTAGGGAGAGGAGCTTGGACAGTGGAGGTGAGCGTATAACGCGCGTTAGTTAAGGGGCCCCTTAAACCTACACTTGGGTCGCAAGTCCCAGGCACTGTTGAAGCTCCTCCCCCTGCAACGCGATGGACCCGGCACCCGCACGGTGAATCCATGGAATGCTGAGAAGTTTCGTCTTATAGCCTTCAGTTTCTTAGCATGAAAGATAATCTTCTTCTTTAGGATTTAATTCTTTCTAATTTTGTGAACGAAACCGCGGTATGCAACTAGTTTTATATTTATATTTATTCTCATCAATAACAATATGATTTTCTGTTTATCAATACTAAATTATCTATTACGCTTCGTCCCAGTAAACTCACTGATTACGTACTGACGCAATCACTTGTGTTTTCTTTTGTTTAACACATGTTTTATTACAGATAATTACCCTTTAACAGCTGATTGTGTGAAATATTTTACTCTCGTTTATCATTTTATTCCAATTTCCTATATGGTTGTCTGATTTTTTATTGCTATTGTATATTAATTTATATATAGGTATATATTTTTATGTGAGTAGCAATGAATTATTTAATTTATTATATGAGTATAAATTTGGAATACTTTTAAATATTTTTTTTCTTTTTATTCTAGAATTGAAACTTTCCGTAAGCACGCGTTGTTTTATATAGATTTTTTTTCTGAAAATTTTGTTAGGATATAATTTTTTTTGCCCATTATACTTCTTTAACACATTACTTACTCATTATTTCCGGCAGAAGATAATCAATTTATTACGTATTTATTGGTTCTATATATATTTTTTTTTATCCGTATAATCTATTCGTAAGAACTGAAAATTAAAGCATATTTTTAAAGCATTTATAAACACAATATGGTTAATTTTATTTTTAAAACTGACCAATGTTTTGGATCATATTATTTTTATTGTATGTACATTTAAATGACGGAATCTTACTCATTTTTACGTTATATAGTGAATCTTACTCATTTTTACGTTATATATCAAACTACTATCACAAGAATATATGTTTATTTTATTATTATAAAGGAATTACTTATGCCAAATATTATGATAGTTCGGGGAAGTATACTCAGTTTTTGATAAGTAATACGCAAAATAAATATGAGGTGTATGAATGCATAATAAGCGTTTTATTGCATACAGTTATAACTAATTTCATATCTTTATATATAAAAGAAAGTTGTGTTAGTTACACTATTTATAACTCAAGAGCTGTACGGGTCTGGCTGAAAATTGGTGGAGAGATTGCTTAGAACAAGGGAAAGGACATAGGATACTTTTGATCCGATTGAATAAGAAACACAAAATAAATTGTTCAAATCCAAAATCTTCGTATCTACTGTCTTTAAGGCGGAATAGAGTTCGTCCAACTATACATTTCTAATTCTGAAACTAAAGCAGACGAAGTCACGGTAAAAAACTAGTATATATAAAATATATTAATATGCTGAAATGTTTGTAATAAGTATAGATAAATCTAAGGACATGTTCATGTATATTTCTGTGTGTATGTTTAATATGCAGCCGATGCTGTACCTAAGGCTTGAAGGTAAAGATCTTTATAGAAGTGTATAGTAATATATATTGTAACATATTATATTTATTTATACTATACAACAGAGAATTTATATGTGTGGGATGAGTAGCTTAGTGCAGTTTTGCATTACAATATATTATATGTTCTATTTTAAGAATCAGATTTAGATAAGCAATGGTTATTCGATTGAGAGTTGTATAGAAAATATTACGACTATATAATTTCTCATACAATTGACTCACTAATAAGCATTACAGTTATACAAAAGTATGAGTTATCATGGAATAAATTTTCATCATTAACAATTGTTGAAAAATATACTACCAGAATTTCGGCTACTTTTCAATAACCGTGATCATGGGCATACGAGATTTATTTCACAAAAATAAGCACGCTTAGTATATCCGAAGAAAATTAGTTTCATTTAAATGAATAAAACTCGATAGTCTTAGATCTCATTATAAAAAAATATACTTAATTCACGTTATTTGGCTAGCACATGCTTTCACGTTTATGCATATTTGTAAGCCCGTTAGTTCCCAGCGGTTGGCAATTTCGTTCATTGACCCCCCCGTATACAGCGACTTGTTCAATTTAATAATAAATTATCAGTTATGATAGAATCCGTTCAACTTATTTTTTATTTAATTGACCGATGAGTGTATATTTCGTTTCATTAGATTTTGATAATTCTGTATATGAATATTAAATGTTTTAAATGTATTTCTAAATAGTTTTATTATAATAATCTTAACGTATGGGTTCTTATCTCAATTATAAAAAAGTTTTTTTTGAAATGTATGTACATATAACGTAAAGAAAATTATATATTGTTAATAATTTAAAGTTTGATATATTAAAAACGATTCAAATCAATTTTGTAGGTATCCAGAAAATATTTCTTTTAATGTATGAATGAACAGAAATATTCAGAATAAACAAATATGAAATTTCAATGTCAAAGGTCGACTTATTTCATAAGCTAATGAAATTCCTAATTAAATACACTTTCAATATATTTTGGTCAACAACAATTATATGTTGGTTAAAAACCAAATAAAATAAAAAAAATTACTACAAAAAAACAGAAACAGTTTAATACGAAAGTAACTCTGTCTGTCTGTCTCTCTGTGACGCTTTCACGCCTAAACCACTGAACTGATATTAATGAAATTTGGTACAGAGATGGCGTTGACCTTGAGAAAGAACATGATAGATTTTATCCCAAACTTTTGAAAGGTTCTCTTGGAAACGCGATATAACAGAACTCCACGCGGGCGAAACTACGGGCGGACAGCTAGTTTGTTTATAATTTCTAATTAAAATTGTTTTTTCTTACTTAAGAAACTCCATAATTTATGTATAGTATTTTTTTTATTTGAAATGTAGAAACCACGAAATAACTGGAACTAAGATAGAGTAATGTAACTGGGCTTATAATTTCCAATTATACATATAAACAAGTTTATAATCACCGACCCGTCTTGAGCAAGCGTGGTGATTAATACTCAAATCTTCTCCATGTGAGAAAGAGGCCTTTGCTCAGCAGTGGGCTCTGATAGGCTGATGATGATGATGAATGTAAACGGGAAGGTCATCTGTATGCTAATAAAATTTGAAATATCTAAAAAAAATATACATATGTACTTAGGAATATTCTTGTAACAGTCATTATATTTTTAGAAGCAAGTATTATATATAATGAGGTTAAAAAAATATAAATAAATTAATAATACTTGGTTTAAATATTATACAAAAAACGTAGTGGCGTCTATCACGTCACACGCGCCACTTTACTAAATACTGTTACCATTACAGTGGTCGTTAGAAACATATTATTTTATCGGTACGATAACTTTGATATTATAGCCTATAAAATAACTGTATGTTTACCAAAAGTTTCCGTCATAACACTGTATACGTATATTTTCCAGTTTTTTATTATATTACCCATTCCCTTTCCCACCCTTTTCCACTTTTCCCCCCTATTAACCAATAAAGGGTGGGGACACATCCTCAATCCTATTTGTTATACATATGTAATATAAATAAATAACTTTGTATATTTATGTACAAATTTTATGTAAACAAGTTATTTGTGTAGTGCAGAAAATATTTTAATAATTATTTTGACACGTTGCCACTACTATCAAATAAACCGGTCGAAATTAGAAGGTCAATCGAATTGTTATAATATAGACTAATGCGTAAAACACTACCCAGCTACACTACCTTCCAAATCCTGCCGCGTAATACGCAACAGCGTCGTCTTTGTTTTGCATGCGCGTGCGCATTGCACATAGTTCATTCATTGAATGATACTAAATTTAACACCGCGTGGCGTGACTTCGACTGGCCAATGACAGCTGAGAGCGTTGACCTCGATTACACTATAAACTTGCTACGTACCTATATACCTTTTTTCCTATAATAATATTGATCAATATCAATTTAGATTTTCTTCTATAATATATGTGAATATTGAATTTCTTTTACGTTATCCGTCACCGAAACTTAAAATCAGAAAGATACGCCTAGAAGATTTTATTTCAGATGTATTAATAAATCTAACCTTGTTGTTGATATTTGTTTAATATTTTTCTATCATAATATACAAGCAGATATACAATAACTTAATAATATCACATGATAATTGATATAACTTTTTTGAATTGTTTTTCCTAAACATCAAGAGATTTTTGACAGTTTAAATTTTTTTTTATATCATTTCCCCCCAATTCCACAGTTTTGGCCTACAATTTATATGAATTAAGCATAACCATAAACCAATTCTTCCAGGATTCCTGGAAAGATCCAAGGTCCGAAGAGGTAGGAAACGTCATCAATATCCTCAACATAGGCAGACAGACATTCGCCAACGGTGGTGTGGTCTCCCGATACTTATGTGACTTGGCCCAATGTGTTCACCTCATCAACTACGACTATAAGGACGTACTGCCCAATGTGAGTATATAGAACATGATTTGAATTGCAAAAATAAGTATTGGAAAAAATACAACAATAAAAACATCGAAATAGGCAGCAATATTATGAAAGAATTTAATAACTTCATCTAAATGAACAAATACGCTAATAATTTAATTTAAGAAAATAGTGCATAGCCATACACCTTGATTTTAGCTATTGCGCCTTCTTCATATCTATAGAAACAGATTAGACTTGAAGAAGAACCTTAAATCTTCGTTTAGTTCAGAATTTTGCTGTTAACATGTTTTTAATTTAATTACAGTCATGATGTATTAAGTAGCCATAATAGAATAAGCCATTACCAGAGCCCTTGAACAAAAAAACTAATAGTAATGAATTCGTTGTAAAAAAAGAAATATTTTTTAGGTTTCGAAAGACAAGCGTTTCGTTCGTGCCATAGAAGACACCACTCGCGAAGAGATGAAGGCAAAAGCCAGTGGCAGCAGCGAGGCTTATGATGATACTAAAAAAAAAGTTGAATCTCGCGCTATGAAAATATTAAAAGATATTTCATCAGCTATGTCCAATAATATATTGAAGTAAGTGTTATTATTTATATAAAAATATACTTGATTCGTCTGTTTTTTTTGCCACAAAAACATTTTACTATTTTACTTGTCCTATTATGGTACTATATTGGAAACTTTTTGGTCTATACTTCCAAAGATCAGTTTGTTATACTGAGAAATACCTTAAATTGTATAGTGTTCACTGCTTTTAGAATAATTATCAGACTACTAGTATTTGCCCGCGACTTCGTCCGCGTTAGTTTGGTCAAGAGTAATATATGTAGGTATAGCTGACCAGGCGAACTCTATTCGGTCTTAGAGGCCATAAATAATCAGGTTTTCCTGTTTCAATCAAACAGAATGATTGACATATTAGTTAGTTGTCAAATCTAATATCAAAAAAACGTTTGTGTGAGAAATAGAAAAGGGCTGTTTTTAGGGTTTTCCCGGCAATTATTCCAATTTTTCTCACCTTTTAAACCTTTCCTGGACTTCCAGGAGTATTTCAAGACTAAAATTAGCCAAATCGTTTCAGCCGTTCTCGAGTTTTAGCGAGACTAAGGAACAGCAATCCATTTTTATATATATATATAGACGATTAAGCTGAACTGAATCTAACTCTTACTCAATCATTAGCCTTTAAGCATAAGACATCCTCTTACTCCATATAATACATATTTATCACTAAATCTAACTCCTACTGAATCATCAGCCTTTTTGCACATAAGACTTTTCCTTCCTCCATATAATTTTCATAATATTCCAGGTTAGTGGCGTGGTTGTGTCACAAAGCCATTCGTCGTATAGCGCGCGGCGGTTGCGGCACGCGTGCGTCCTGCGTGCAGCGTCTGCGCCGCGCCAAGGCCGCAGGGCTGCCCTTAGTATTCGTTCCCCTCCATCGATCTCACTTCGACTACGTGCTAGTCACGTTTACACTCTACCTGACCGGGTTAAGGCCGCCTCTGGTTGCCGCTGGTGACAATATGCGGATACCGTTCTTTGGGTGAGTGTTTTATTCTCTAGCCAATTTTTACCAATACGCTCATAGTAAAAGCGTTATTCCCCATTTCCAAATTACCAGATAGTCAAGAGGCTTCCTAAAAACGTCCTCTTCAAAATAATAACCGACAAACTAAATTAGTACTCGCGAAAATCTTAGATCTCATTATAATAACCTACAATAAAGACTTAGGTGTACCTTTAGGACGGGATTAACTCCCGGGTCTTTCAGGCCCGAATTTAACGGTTGGGTCCCATCAATGTCAAAGCAATTAGGACTAATAGCTATAGTCAAGTGCAAGCTAAAGAAAAATCTCTATATACATACATGTGTTTAGATTTTTTAAGACCGCCTTTGGTTTTTGGGCCCTACCTAAATGAGCAATCGTATTCAGATTGTATATCTGTTATAATTAATTCATATAGAGTATATTATTAAACATTATTATTTATTATTTCAGTTGGTTCCTACGTGCGTGCGGCGCATTCTTCATCCGTCGTAGAATCGATGGCTCGGAGTATCACGGTGATCCTCTATACAAAACTGCTTTGAGGTAATAAACAACTTCTACTAATATTGTTAAAGCAAAAGATTGTATGTATATGTTTTTATAACTCAATTACCAAAAATTACGATACCCATTCTGATGCCTATAAAATGATAGCCTAAATAAAATGATTGTCGATGATAATTTGGGTTTATATTCTTACTATTAAAGTTTTTTATACATCTAAAACATTATTTTTATTCATAGAAATTATTTTTTATTACATATTTCAGAGCGTACATACTCAATAGTCTAGCTGCTAACAATAATCTGGAGTTCTTCATTGAGGGCGGAAGAACTAGGACTGGGAAACCACAACTGCCGAAAGGTACTTTAGAATTGTATAAAGTTTATTTTATTTATGTACCTAAAAATAAATAATTACTGTATTATATAAGAAATGTAGCACAAAGGATAACTTGTCTTAAAAGAGATCTCTATCAGAAACCCTTTTGATAGAGGAAACAAGAAAATAAAGTGTGGTTTAGATACAATAAAAAAAATTATATAGATATAAGCATAGATACAAAGTGATAATAAATATTGACATATATAAATATAGGTTTATTAAAAATGATACATTTTTGTTTTTTGCTGCGATCATGGAGTAGAAGGTAGGTAAGTGTGAGGTAAAATTGAGAAAAGGAATATAATTAAGTTGATATATGTTATTTAATGATACAAGACTTAAATAAGTAATTTTTTTGTCGTTTATAATTATTTGATTATTGCATTTTAACTGTTTACAGTACAAGTACTGAACTCGGACATTGTGGATATTTCAAACTGTTATTTTAACTTTAATATAAATTGTTTATCTAAACCAAAAAAATATTGTTTATCTAAACAAAAAAAAACACATAATACATGAACCACCACGTCATCCAATCGCAGCTTAGTGGCTTAGCTTTTTCTTTAAAACTAATATTTATATATATCGATTTCAGCGGGTATATTATCGGTAATAATGGACGCATACTTAGACGGTACTATCGATGACGCGTTATTAGTACCAGTTACTCTGAACTATGATAAGCTAGTGGATGGAAACTTCGTGAGGGAACAGCTCGGGATGCCGAAACAGATGGAGACGTTCTGGTCCGCGCTCAGAGGAATATGGAGGACGCTTAATACTAATCACGGCAGTATACGAGTGGACTTCAACCAGCCTATATCGTTGAAGGTGCGTTAGATTAGGTTTTTAGGTTAGGATGTCAGTGGTAGCCTAGTGGTTAAAGTTAGTGGGTGCGGGTTCAAACCTGGCAAGTACCAATACGATTTTTCGGAGTGATATGTACTTTCTGAGAGTTATTTAGACATCACTGACATACGGTGAAGGAAAACATCGTGAGGAAACCTGGACTTATAGTTTCACAATTATAAGTTTGATATCACCAACCCGTCTTGAGCAAACGTGGTGATTAATACTCAAACCTTCTCCATGTGAGAAAGAGGCCTTTGCTCAGCAGTGGGCTTCTGATAGGCTGATGACAGACAGTTAGGTTAGGTTATTAGGTTAGATAAAGAATGTGGATAAGAACTCTGAACGTGATAACTAGGAAGATTTGCTGAACGAAAATCTTTATCTATGTAATTTTTTTTTACTAAAAAATATTTATTTTAAAAATATTATGATATTTTATAATAGTTATTGGATGAACTAAATTTTTTCGGATTACAACGCGTATTTTATGATTCTAAAAACTATATACTCCCGACGTTTCGGTTGCTACAGAGTAATCCGACAATATTTGTTTCGTTTAAATGAATACTCGCGAAAGTCTTAGATCTCATTGTAACCTTAAATTTATCTTCAAAAATACTGTAACAATGAAGTAATAGTTAAATTATATATTAGTGTTATAATTTAATGTCAAACAATATGATTTCACTGAAACATTAATATAAAATATCTTCCCTTTCTTATCTAACAAGATACTAATATTAAAGTAAACGGAGTTTTTCATTAATTTTTTGTTTCATAGGAGCTGGTAACATCATTCCAAAGGTATAATTATCTGAAGGCCCCAATAGAAGCGCCATTAAAGTCTAGCAACAACCTAGCAGAGAATCTAGACCGTCAGATCCTGTACAACCATAGTCACAGTAGTCTGTACGGAAATGACGTTAGCACAGACCATAAGATGATGGTTGAAGCCATTGGCAGACATCTTGTGTATGGTGAGATATTCATTTTTGTTCTCTAAATAACCTCTTCTACAGTCATAGCTAGAACTGTTAATATATCTTAAAGCTTTAGTCTAATGTATGTATATATGCATATTTGTATGTATATATCCTACTTTACTTAATATTATAATTGCGAAAGTTTGTGTGTGTGTGTGTCTGTTTGTTACCTCTTCACGCTCAAACGGCTGAACCGTTTTTGATAACATTTTGTATACAGGAAGCTGACGTCCAGGAATAACACACAGGCTACTTAACATCCCGGAAATCCGCGGATTAATTAGGCGCTAGGAATTTATTAAAACTAAACTTAAACTTTAAATAGATGCCGCTCAATCGACGGCCCTGATGTGCACTAACGTAGTGTCATACGTGCTGCTGACGGAACAGCGGCAGGGGTGCTCCATCAGCGGGCTGCAGGAGAGCGTGCGGGCCAGGGGCGCTACACTGAGGGCTGCGGGCCGGGACCTCGGGTACAGCGGGGAGACGAGACATGTGGTGGCTAGAGCGGTGAGGGATATACACACACATATATATATACTAGAAGACCCGGCGAACTTCGTATCGCCCTATAATTAAGAAATATCTGTTACGTTTTTTTATTATAATTTTGGAGTTTACCTATTAAAGCCATAAATCTCCGTGTTTTGAAGTGCGACAGAATGATTGACATATTATATTAGTTAGTTGTCTAATCTAATGTAAAAAAAACGTTTGTATCAACAACTACTAATAAATTAAAAATTAATTAAAAAAAAATTGTCCAGCGGACAAAATTGTGAATCTAAACAATTCCCAGATCCCCTTGAACACACACAAAAATTTCTTCAAAATCGGTCCAGTCGTTTAAGAGAAGTTCAGTGACATACACACTCACAGAAGAATTATATATATATATATATATATTTATATGTTTCATTATGAATTTCAATCTTACTAATATATAACTATTTTCCCATCAGTTGGAGACCCTAGGTAGTACCCTAGTTCGTTGGGAAGGCTCCGGTTCTAAACGTATCGTCAAGCCCCAGAATTCTGTAGCAGCGTCCTTAGAACTATCATACTACGCGAACGCGGTAGTCGCCCACTACGCCGCTTCAGCTATCGTGGGTAAGGATCTAATAATATTACCAACAGAAATGTCATATAAAGTGATAATTAGTATATAAGCATGAATACTAGACGTAATAATTATTAACAACTAGATTTAGCTAGTAGTTGAATTGAGTCGATTTTGACTTGAATGAAATACATATGTTCAACTAACAGCGCCATCTATAGTCTATATCATGTGTCTTCATATGAAATACAAATGTAATGAATAGTAAAATCTATTATTACTCCGTTTATATTGACCGATCGTTAAATATGACGTATTTACACTACGGGGTTAGATTTCATATAAATGCTTTGTAAAAATGTTTGTATATAGTCTTTGTTTACATGTCGTTAAGACACATTATCAATAAATTATATCTAACATGATACCTTACACCTTCTATAACGTTAGTCAATTCATGAGTCGCTAATTTTGTTTTGAATTTGAGTAACTGTCGCTTCAACGACACACATAGGTAATGATATGAAATAGGAAACAAATTCATCACTTGCAAAATGAATTTGGCTTCAGCTATTCGACAAACTATGATTATCAGAAACAAAATGTCTTTTTCTTATATAAATAATATATTTCCAGTGACAGCCCTAGAAAGTATAATACGTAAGGAAGGAGAGGATGTTCCTATCAGACACTCACACCTCATGGAGGCAGCCCTGGAATTAAGCGAAATATTGAGCCAGGAGTTCATTCTATGCGCGCCCTGCAAGAGAATTGAGGAGAGATTAGACGAAGCGGTTCAAGAATTACTTCAGGCTGACGTACTAATTAATATGGAGGTAAATATTGAAATAAATGTCTATTTGTTGTTTATTTTTTGACTTATTTTCTACTAGCGATTATATCGCGTTTCCAAGAGAACCTTTCAAAAGTCGCGGATAAAAACTATCCTATGTTCTTTCTTAAGGTCAACTCTATATCTGTACCAAATGTCATTGAAATCAGTTCAGTTTAGGCGTGAAGGCGTGACAAACAGATAAACAGAGTTACTTTCGCATTTATAATATTAGTAGGGATGAATAGATGAAATTTACCTTTAATATAAAATTTAAATAATTTATAAGACCGTTGTATTACAGCATCATAGATAATATGTTCTGAAAAAAAAGGCAACAGAGTATAAACTTAGTTTTAATAATGAAAAATCATGGAACGGCTGGAAATTTAATTATTAGTACAGTTATTTGTTTTGTTTATCTAATATTTTGGTGCGTTTTATACATAATAATGATTTTTTAACCGGATTTTCTTCAGAAACAAGATGTCCTTGAAGAAGAACGCTGGGCGCGAAGGTTCGCTAAGACTTTGGATGATGAAGACGACGCGCGACCACACGCCGCGGACATCAAATACACCGTCGGGAACACGAAGCACGCTGTCGCTGAACGGTGTGATATACTTCCACTTGATACTATATACATAATAATAAAATGACCAAAGACTCATATGAAAAACGGATAAAAATACAAAAGGAAAAATTTAAATCTAGTTAAAGTCCCCGAATACTAAATATTAAGGACGCTTTTGGTCCTATCCAAGTAATTTTTAATATATTTCTATACATACATAATCTTCTCTTCTTTTAAATATTATATACTAATGTATATATTCTTTTAATCATTATATTGTATATCTCTAGTGTTCGTCTTCTTCGTACAATCCGTCCTTTATTGGAGGCCTATTCGTCGGCGTGTCGGTGTGTGAGTGAGACAGCTGTTAATGATCTAGTTAAGACAGCGCTTGATAACCTCCTAGAAGCGACAAGCCAAGGAAAATTGATATATGGTGGGTGAGAAAGATAAACATACTATTATGTTCCATCTCTTTTTTATAGTATATAGCAAGAGAGAGACGGCTAGAGTTCCATGTCTCGCTAACAGATACTTTTGTAATGAAGTTATAAGATCTTCTATCCCTGTCTAATGTAATTTTCGAATGCATGTTAGAAAGAGATGGCAAATCTGTAAAAAACTTAGATCATAGTATGTGGTGAAAAGATATGAATTCCTATCTCTGTCTAATAAAACCTTTCTCGAGTGTGTGTTAGAGAGAGATGAAAGATTAACAATATACACACATTATATATATTAAAGGGACATAAATCTGTGTCAAAGTTGAAAAGAGATGAAAAATATTTAAGAGGTTGCATCATGCATGTAAGACATATAATATTTTTGATCGAAGCTACCAATGTTAAATTGAGTTTAAATGTATATAAATATATGTATAACTAATATATTTGTATGTTCTTTAGGCGAGGCTGTTTCTACGGACGCGATACGGAATTGCCTCAAATTACTGCGCCAGTGGGGAGTTATAGAAATGTATTCAGACAGTCGCGTGAGAAAAATAAAAATATGTCCACCCTACACGAACAAAGACAATCTGGAGAATGTGTGTGCTAATGTGTACAAATTTAATATGGACACGCCTTTAGTTTAGTGTTTAGTGTAAGTGAAGTGAAATGATAGTGACTTTTAGTGCGGGCACATTGAAATATTCATATGTTATATTATTGAGTGTTTTGTTTCGACCTTTAAGTGATTTATTTACACTTTTATTGATATTTCTTTGACAAGGTATGTGAATTTAGGATTTTTGTTTTCATCAAAATGCTGTAATTTAAGTAATATAATTGTATTTACTTAAACGGAATACAGGATTTTGTATAAAATTTTTCATACAACTTTGCTAGGTTTTTGCTGGAGATTTTAAGAACTATCTATATCTATGCATTTATTGCGACAGAAATAATAAAAATATTTTTATGTAGGGGTGTATTGGCTGAAATAATTATTAATTATATTGGCTCAGAAGTTTGTCATGATTGATTCACAACAAAAGATAACTATGTGTATATTTATACATATAACTTTGAATTATAATTAACATATTGTTGAGTATATTTATATGAAAAACTATAAGTATGTAAGAAATATTTGTCAATAAAATGTTGTACCAAATAATGTTAAATTGATTGGTAATCATCAAAAGAAATACATTTATTTATAAGCTTTATTATCAAAGTGTTTAAGTTCATTATTCAATGTGCCCTTAATGTCGTCTGGCTGTGTTATGTATATAATATTCCAGTGATATTGTTTGGCAGATTTGTGATGTAAATTAAGTTATATATATAAACTACCTTATGTAAAGAGAGGTAAATAAAAATGTTTAAATATATGTTATCACAGCACTTGTCTCATGCTCAAAATACATAAATCTTTTAGTTGTATATAATGTGGTTATTACATAGTTAATATACTATTTAGATTGTAGGTCTGGGTTAAAATTGACAAATAGATGTAGTTTTTATATTGTATTTCCTGTAGTACGTTAATTGATAGTCATTTGAGCAACTTTTTTTTATTGTATATATTTATTCAATGAATGTTGAAAGTTTTGTGACGAAGTTGTTGACTTTATGACGTGGTGTAACATAAAGAGATATACTTTATGTGTGTTTCGTTTTATTTTTAATAAATTAAGTTTGGACAAAACAAAAATACGGGTATAAATAAAGTAATAAAAAATAAGAGTTTTATATATGCATTATCATAAATATTTGATTTAAAAGTAAATATTTTTATCTAAAATTGTAGTTTTACCTTAAGTAGTAAAAAAATAATGTAATTCTTTATACTTATTGGTTCATTGGATATAACAATGTCTGTCTATGATTTTTTATGCTGTCTACATGATCATATTCTCAATTAAGTATTCTCTAAAAATAGCAGTCTTCACTGAAATATGTTCATATCTAAAATAATAAAAAAAAAAGATATATTTTTTTGAAACTAGCAACGTTTCAGCGAAAAGCAGACAGTTTTTATAGGAGTTTTATGAAAAAGTAACTAACTAAACTTAAAATTGGTCATTCCAATAATATGTTTATTATTTACATATTTTTTTCTGGCAACTATTTGATACAAACGAATACTCACTAGAGCCGTAAAAATATTAACAAACGAATATCTTTAAAGTTTAATTTTAAAATAATGTTAGGATTTCATTACTTCAATTCGATTCTTGTGACATTTTATTTAATGTTAATAGTTCTAATCATGAAAAATGTAACTGCCCTTGAAATAAGTAAGTTGATTTTCCTGTTGTTTAAATGTTTACTCAAAAAAGCTTATAAGTTTAAAATTAGTTTGATAAAGTCCTTCAAGACATTTGTTATACGAGTCGAATAGACCAAGAACCACGTTTAGATTCTATTTAGATTGCTCGCAAGTTTCATATACAGGGTGACTGGTGAATTACTATCAATATCTGAGGAGAGTACTCGGTACATGATTCTCATTCGAATTATGGAAAAAATATAGGTACTTAATTTTTTACCAAATTTCCGTGTAAATAAATAAAGTGCGGACACGTTCCAAGTGTTCCAAGTGTGGACGCGTGCGGCGTGCTGATACAACACCACGCCGCCGCACGTGTGTGTGTGTGTGTGTGTGTATACTTAATCTGTAGGGTGTTCACACGATGCGTAATTAATTACATAACTTTTGGTTAACTTTACTTAGAAGTTTATTAATATTTATGTTATATTAATTTTTATTTTGTCATATATGATCGTCAAATTTCACGTCCTCAAGTATCGATAGTAATTCACTAGTCACCCTGTATATATGTTGCCGGATATGTATAAAATTAAGGAATTATATACAATTGCTAGTGATTTTTTCAATTCCTAGAATATTTAGGAAACGTAAAAAATATTTTTTGAAAAACTTTTAATTCATAGCTATCTTAGGAAATGTGTAAATTTCCTCGAAAATATAGGTATGTACCTAATCTAATATCGTATCAGGAAATTTATACATATAAATGCTTTTTGTAAAACACGTTAAAATGAGAATAATATTTTTTATTATAATGCTGATTGAAACAATTCGATACCAGTTATGCCGTCAAATATAATTTGTACCTATTATCTTACTAGTAAATGTTAATATTATCTTATTAACCTAACCTTTCCTCCCTTCGCCCCGGTGACCCCGCATACCCTTCAATATCTTAAATGTTTTACATTTCCGATTGCTATTTAGGCAATATACAGATTTCAGAGGCTATGTGTATACAATTATTTATTTCACACATTTCCGGTAACTAATACATAATGTATAAAACTTCACATAAGCATGTGTGATTACATAAGTGTAAATGATAATATCGTAAAATATAAAACTAAGTGCTATACAAATTACTTAGACCCATAATTTCCTCTCAAGTTGCAGATGAGTTCGTTCTGTTTTTGGCGTCTTAGAACCCTTCTTCCATTTAAAACTAAACTCTTCCTTGCATTTATTTTCGCAATATTGATTAACTTTCTATTAACAGAATTACAGCATAAACAACGTTTTGCCGAAGATGAAAGACGAAGTGGTAGAACTTACTGTATCTTTAAATAAACCTATTCCAAAAATATTTCATACATTCAATAAACTAAATACTCGTATAATATAGGAAATTGTGAAACTTTATATAAATTTCTTCTACCTGAACAGGGTCATCATACAAGAAAGAATCGCGTACGTTAAACGAATTAGTTTTATTATAAACTAGCTGACCTGGCAGACTTCGTAATGCCTCAATCAAGAAATAAATTACATATGTCCTATTTATTTTTTTGGAGTTTACCTGTAAGCCATAAATCTCCGTGTTTTGAAGTGCGACAGAATGATTGACATATTAGTTAGTTGTCAAATCTAATGTCAAAAAAAACGTTTGTATGGGAAATTGAAAAGGGCTGTTTTTATGGTTTTCCCAGTAATGAATCAATTTTTTTCAGCTTTTATACCTTCCCTGAACCTCCACGAACATTTCAAGACTAAGATAAGATAAATCCGTTCAGCCGTTCTCGAGTTTTAGCGAGACTGAGGAACAGCAATCCATTTTTATATATATAGAAGAAGAAGATAATATTTTGAATAGCAATTAAGAATCTCTTACTTAGTCCAAACGTCTGCAAGTTAGCCACATTTCTCATATAAATAGCTTATAGAACGTATATATTCTGACGTAATGTTATTATTTCAAGTACAAACGTGATGTCTATGAAGACACGGAGGTGAGAGGTCCGTTCAATGTGAACAAACTGTCTCGCTTCGTGGAGCTCGTGTTGGTGGCCGACTACAGGGAGTTCAGAGCTAACGGGGAGAGCAAGGAGACGGTGCACAGGCAGCTCAAGGATGTGGCTAATATTATTAACTCTGTAATCTTATTTTTTCTTTGGTAACACTATTACTTTTTAATATCAAGCAAATGTGTTATTAATTCTCTCTTCTTTTCAGTTGTACAGCCCTCTAAATATTTTTATATCATTAGTTGGCGTTGTTGTTTGGAACGAGAAAGACGAAATAGTTTTGGATGAGGACGGAGATAATACTCTCAAAAATTTCTTACGATACAGAAAGCAAACACATTCTATGTTACCCAATGATCATGCCCATTTATTGACGTTAGTTCTATTGGCTTTTAAATATATTTTATTTATGCACACAAGTTTTCTTTTAAATCATTATTGCTTTTTATTTTAATATGTATATGGTTCACCACTTAACGCTAGCTATAGCAACATAAAAAAAATTACTCTAGTCCTGAAGTCATCTCGAAGTAATACCTATATGACAATAATATCCATTTTTTTAGCCTCTTTTTTCAATATATCCTCTTTAATTTCTTTTTCTGAGTTTTAATTTATTTTCAGTCACCAAAGATTTATTGACGGTGTTATGGGCAAGACTAATAAAGGAAGTATTTGCACATATGAATATTCTGGAGGTATTTCAACGACACATTCAGATTTGATAGGATTAACAGCAACTATGGTGGCCCATCGACTGGGACATAGCCTTGATTTGGAACATGACACAGAGGAATGCGAGTGTTCGGATCAAAGATGTGTAATGAGTAGTCAAATCAGTGGTCAATATAGAGGGTACCGTAGAGCACGAACACCAACTAAATGGTCTTCATGCAGTTAGAGAGATCTTTCCCTAGCCTTCAAACAGGGCAAGGACTATTGCTTGCGGTTATTATTACTCTTATTTATATTCAATAGTTGGAAAACTTCTTTGATATCAGAAATTTATCCTCATTTATCATCCTCAGAAACAGGCCAGTGAAATTATTCGAGCCTTCTACTTGCGGTAATGGATTCATCGAGCCCGGCGAGCAGTGTGACTGTGGCCTGGCGGGTGATCCAGCCTGCACCGCTTGCTGTCACCCGCGGGCGTGCGTGTTACGCTCTAACGCGACGTGCGCGGCGGGAGAGTGCTGCGATACGACGGTATACATGAGGACGTGCCTCACACCGACCGACTTTTGTTTGATAGTAGGTTTAATATTAATATTTGTATGACAGACTTGTCGTCCGAAGCCGGCGGGGTCGGTGTGCAGGGCGGCCGACAAGGAGTGTGACCTGCCCGAGTATTGCAGCGGACACTCGGAGTACTGTCCGATAGACGTGTACAAGATGGATGCCACGCCTTGTGGAGGGGGGAAAGTGAGATACAATTGGAATTTATTTTTATTATCTAACAAAACATATATTAAAATGTATTTATATAAATATTAGGCGTTTTGTGTTGGTGGAGATTGTCGGAGTCACGAAGACCAATGTCGATTGCTCTGGGGTGTGACAGGAGAGAAAGCTGATAATTATTGTTATACTGCTTTGAACACGAAAGGTGATCGGTATGTTGATATATATATATATATTTTGAGCAATTTTTCTTAAAGATTTTAAAGATTTCAACAGCGAATATAAAATTACATGTAAGAATTTATTTCTTCAGCTTAAATTTTTGTGTTTTATCAATATTATTCATTTCGTTTTTTTTAAAGTGGAGGTAACTGCGGCTATAGTCTTCAAGATACAGCCAGTTACGTCAAATGTTTTAAAGAGGACGCACTATGTGGTCTGCTTCATTGCAAAAACCATAACTATAATCTGGAATTTGGGAAGGAGGGTGCTGTCATTTCAAGCACAGTTTTCGCACAGAATAATGGTAAGATTTTATATGAATGGTCTTATTTTAATAAAAGGAAAGTGGGTGTAAGTGCAAAAGAAAACCTTGTTTGTGTAAAGAAGTCTTTTGGAAACTTATGTGTTGAAGTTATAAGTGTGCTCAAAACAAATTTCCCGATTCTTATTTTCATAAAAGATATGAAAAGGTACAGGTATACCTATAAGGCATGCCCTCTAGCGCAAGTTGATCTATTTTGCGATAAATAACAACACAAATTTTATCTGTGAGCAATATTTTGCATTTTTATTACAGTAAGGAGTTTTGCAAACTTTTATATTTGTAATAATCTAGGATTTTGTATATGCACTTTTTAAGAGTATTTAGATACCACTTAGAGACTGTGAAGGAAAATATAATGTGGAAACCTGGACTTATAATTTGAAATTGTAAGTTTGTAATCACTAGGCGTGTTGATTAATGCTCTAACTTTCTCCATGTGAGAAGAGTCCTTTGCCCAGCTGTACGAACCGATAGGCTGGTAATGATGATTATTTATTACATTTTCTCAGGATCACATATAACATGTCTTACGGCTAAGATTGATTTGGGTATAAATGATCCAAATCCAAGTTTTGTTCCCGACGGGGCTAAATGTGGCCAAGAAAAGGTGAACATTTCTTACAGCTCATTCATTTGATTTAAGCTTTTACATGTGTATTTATAAACAAATATATTATTTCAGATGTGTTTGAATCATAGATGCGTTCCAATAACGGAAGTGACGGCAGAGATCGCTCGTAAAGAAACATCCGTCTGTCCGTCTGACTGTTCGGGTCATGGAGCCTGTAACTCAAAAGGTATAAGAGTATCTGTAACACTTCCTATAAAATTTTAGTATTGAAATAAATTGGTGGTAGAGCCTAGCTGTGGTCAAGTTACTACAGCTAGAACATGTGCTAGCTCGACCGAGGAAGTACCACCCTCTCACAGAAGATCAGTGTGAAGTAGATTTAATGGCTAGGTTTCGTTTGAGGTGTAAGAGAGCCGTTTCCCTTCCTCCCTTCCCTGTCCTTTCCTTTTCATTCCTTTTCCTCCTTTTCCCCCTCTTGTGCAATCAAGGGTGGCAAAATCTAATTTGTAGATGTTCATGTTAGTTACGTCTGCTTGGTTGACCCCCTTCAGCATTAAAAAAAAAAACAATGATTTATAACGTCACAACGTGGACTAAAATTTAAAAGAGATTTTTTAGCTGGTTCTAGTGAAGTGTTATAGTAATTTATGCAATTTTTATTCAAAGGTCATTGTCACTGCGAGCCGGGTTTCACACCTCCACTATGTACTCCGGCACATCCAGGAGGATCCGTTGATTCTGGACCACCGCCTTACTTTTAAATTAGAAAAATATAATGTCAAAAATGGAAATAGACACATTATTCGATAATAGTAAGGATATTTAATATTAGATGAACATTCAATTTATATAGAACCAACCTTTGAATATTTTTTTTATGAAAGTAAAAATATTAATAATAAGGAAAATAATTGAATGAACGTGTGAATTTATTAAATTAATTGCTTAATATGTCAAATTAGTTACACATCGATTAAAACTTATTAAATGTAAATGAAATATATGAATAATTAATATATCATTCAAAAAAACCTTCAAATTTTTTAAATACTTTCATATAAAATACAGATACAAGATTTTTTTATAATAAAAAGATAAAAATGTATAAAGAAATAAAATGCATTAAATTTAACTGGAGATTTTAAATATATGATCATCAGTATGTTTCCTCCACTTTATCGAACGTCTATTAATAAAACGCTAACATTCATTATAAAATTTTATTATTTGTTAATAAATATTTTTATTTACCCGATTCTCTGTTTTATCGTGATTCCAAGTAAAGTTGAACGTTTCTTTATTGTCTTTACCTTAGAAACTTTTTTACTCTTCACTTAGACATTGACAAGTGACAGTTCTAAATTCAAAATCTAGACAACTTCATACATATACTGTTACAAACTTCTGTCGCCAGTTGACAGTTGTGTAGTGTTATGAGTTCGGGTTGGTGTTAGTCTTTAGTCGCATTTCGTTTACTTTTACAAAGAGTGACCTGGTCGGCGTCATGTTGTTTATTTAGTGCCTTTATAAGTTAAAGTAGTAGTACAAGTATGTAAAGTTCATTTGTTTGATGATAAATATAGTTTTTCGTGCAATATGTTCAGAAGAACTTCAAGTGTGAAAATGTTTGATTGTGGTTGCATTAAAGTGTGCTGGCTCGTGTTTTGCTCAATATTATTAGCCCTGACAAAGGATAGCGCAGATGCCCATGGAATAAGTAAGTTGCTGAATTTGTTACACTTCCGTTTTTTAATATTTCGATGACTTCCTCGTCAGATATATATTGCCATTAAGATATATTTAAGTTATGTTAGAACATGATTCAACACTTCCTTAATTGTTTTAGAAAGGTATTGAAATAAAACTACGTTTCGATCTATTTCTTATGAATTTTTGAGTCAAACTTGTCTAATATATTATGCTTACAATGGTATTATGAATAATGAACTTGAAATTTCTAAGAGAATTAAATCTCTCACAAATTTTATATACATCTGTCATTTAAATCTATTCATTGTTGTAACTAGTTCAAACAATTTAGTATTTTTTATAGTTATAGAAAAACATTGATTAAAAAAATATTCTTTATTTATATATATTTTATCTCTTTGTAAGTAGTTGTTTACTTCAAGGGTGTAACTGTATTTATAAGGAAAATATAAGCTGCAGAAAACTTTTACCTTTATATGTTTTCATTTGTTTAAAACATTTACACATATTAATAAAAAAAAGTGATATATATACACTAAAATGTACATAAGTTTTTTAAATATTGACCAGTTATATTTTAAAATTAATTTTAATGACAAGAAAAATATGTATATGTGTGAGTGAATGTATATGTTTTTTTTAAATTTCTAAATCGGTATGAACAGGTTCTTATTGTGAAAGGTTTTTCCACATTCATCTCTTATGATAATTATTATTCATTTTTATTGAATGACTCACAGTTTCTTAATTATATCTCTTTCAAAACGATATAATACTTTTTTTTAATATTATGGACAGACGATAATCACTTTTAGGATTTGTTGAGAATTTGTTTTATATCAGTGAAAGGTAGAAAAATATGAAAAATGTCTTATTTATATTTGAAAAGAATCTTATATGGAAGTTTAGATAAAAATAAATATTTTTTTGTATCATGTTTGTTATTAATGAAACTATTTAGTTTATTCATATCTTTGGATATTATAAGTATGATATAAATAAAACAAAGTTGTTTTGTTATCGAATTATATAATATTTTAGTATCTCTAAATATCTATATTTACTAACTCTAATATTATTAAAAATTTGTACTAAAAACATATTTATATTTGAAAATCTAAATATTACACTTTTTATAATAAATCTTTAGAATTTTCTGTTTCAAACTATATATACATAGTAACCCGAAATCTGATAATTACTTAATTTTGAACAAAATGCAATTATTGGTAAGTGTTATAAGAAATATTTTTCTACAAACAATTTTGTTTTTTAAATTAAAACCAATTATATTTTAGGATTTGTTACATGATTTTTAGTATTTCATTAAATATCCTCAACTCGTCTGCCCATGATCATTGTTGCTGCAAAGTAACCGAAACATCGGGAGTATGTAGTTAAAATAACAAAAATCACATAGTAGGTCCAAATCTATTAGTTTTATTTCAACAAATACTCGCGGAAGTCTTAGATCTCAATTACGTATTTTTTTATATAATCTATCCATTTCAAACATAAAGCCAGTAATATTGATTACATAATATCTGTTTTTCATTATGTAATTAACAAAATTTAAATGTACAAAGCTAACAGATACCCATTATCATGTATAGGCGGCCATGAGTGAAAATTCGCAATTATTAATTCACACATTGTTAGTGAGCTTGCATTTAATTATACAACGGTAAAAATATAGTATCACAGGATATCCGGCGTCCGCTCAATGTACTCTCGTGGTGATAAATATCAATGAAAACAATTAATATATGAAATAATAAATTTTATTGCCATAGATCGATTTTTTTTTCTGTCTTTGGTGAACAACTAATCAGACTTTAGTCTACGGTCTATTCAAAACTTTTGAAGTGCGTTTTCGTTTTCTACATTTATATAATGTTATTCTAAAGACATATAATATGTATTTATAATTAATTTTTTCCTAAAATATAAATCGTGAAATTACAATTCAGCTAAGAATATTATTATTATTTTTTCATTTTCCGTTACAATCTCATTATTAAATTAGTCATCTTGTTTTTATATATTGATGTATTGTATTAACATTCAATAATTTTGTAGACACATTTTGTTTTTTTTTAAATCGTAACAGACATTAAGAAGAGCTTACGAAGGTACGTGAGTAGCCAACATTGAAATAATTCGCTTAAAAATAAAATAACAGTTAACATATAAGTAAATGTCAATAGTGACGTGCCGTTCTTTTCCGGTTTTTGTCGTTATTTATAAGTTTAGTTGAAATCATCGTAAAAAAATTAAGCTTGGAATTTTAATTGATTTTTTTAGCCTCTTTCGTTGAATGCCGCCATATGTACATTTTTCTGTGTGTATTTTGTATGTGCACAAAATAATGTAGTTATTATTTCATTGTTTTTTATAGTAATGTAATTATTCTTAATTTAACTGTATTTGCTATCCATCTTTTATTATTTCTATTGTGAAAGCTAAAAAGCTTCTTTGATTGTCACAAAGGAAGTAGAGGGAAGGTTTGATCGACAGATAAAATTGATTAGGAACTAACTTGGCAATGACTGATCACTAGAATGGTATTGCCATATTATTATCGGATACATATATTTTATAAGGATGGCAACATTCACATGTGACATATTAATTATTTCTTCCTTGAAAATTTATCTGATAGGCCGTTATTTTGCTTTGAATAAATTTTAATTTTATTTTAAATAACTTAATGATTACCTATATATGTGTGTTTGTTATTGAATAACTCAATAACTATTGAAACGATTTTTATATGATTTTACATATGTTAATTTGCAGCGTAATAATAAAATATATACTTATTTTTGTTCCAAGAATTTAATGGTTTGGGAGGCTAAGTGTTGGGTAAAAGGTACTTTACTGATAAATGAAATTTGATCTTCTTAGGAGATAAGCAATGTCACATTTGAAAGCAATATCAAAGAGGGATTATATATAATTAAATATATAATATATATGAGTAATAAGACCTTAGAAATAGTAATATTAAAGATAATTAATAGAACAATATAATGTTTTTATTTATTATTTTATCTGCATATTAAAGGAGTAAAAGTTCAAAGGGTTGTTTTATAAATGCTAAAGTGTGATATTACGGAAGGGTGTTTTGTAAGGGTGACGTTTTAAAAGGAAGTGTTGCGTTGTAAGGGCTATGAAACCCTCTAATAAAGAAAATAATATTAATATAAAAGACTATATATATGAAAAATAATTAAATGGACGTCTGAGGCAGATCGCGTGTTACGAAAAATTATTGGATAGATTTAAATTGATTAATTATTAGGTTTTTTAAATACTCACTAGACTCATAATAAAAAATATTGCTGATTTAATTTAATATGATAATGTTAATGAATTAAGAAACATGCATTTTATAAGTACAAAGTCTAGGATAACGTTTTTCTTAATCGAAGGAAACTTTGTTTATATATTTTAATATCAAATGACACTTATGCATAGAATCCGAATACATTATTAAGCAAATATAATAATAATCATTAATATATATAGAGGGAAGCGAAGCGAAAACTTTGTATTTTATTACGAGAATTGAACAAAAGATACTTAGAACTTTGACTACAAAGCTGAATGTTTTTGGAGATATACATATATCTTTCATATGTATTATATATCTATATGTAAGTTGTTTAATTCAGTAGACGTATAGTATTCCATAGAACCTTATAGTTAGTCGTTAATTAGCATGTTCAGTGAGTCAGTGGCATCCGACGGAAATCGATTGTGAATCACGAAGTCAACACTTAAATACTTATATATACGCTCGTTTACGAATACTATACATATATATTACACACGGATTCGCCTGACTATGAAATAATCTACTTAATATTATACTTGCTATTTATATATATATATGTAAGAGTAATAAACAGACTTTCTATCATTTTTTTTTATATTAATAACTGTTATGTATATGTGGTTACTGCAAGTACCCTTATTTATCTTTATACATACATATAAAATAAAGTCGTGTTAGTTACACTATTTATAACTCAAGAACTGCTGTACG